CTATCACGCATTTCTAATCGCGCAGCGTCTATTGTACGGCTCACCTGAGCTTGCGATCCGACTCACCGTTAGTCACTACAACCATAACCCCGGTCTAACGACATTGTTAAAACGCTCTCTCACCACCCACTAGAGCTATATTTCCACTCGCCGCCAGTAACCATATCCCATCGCTTGATTGGGTCTTACCTCCAATATAATTGTCCAGCACTCGCTAATGGATTCCTCGGCTCCTGGAGCCCCCCACGGCGGTAACTCCAACGGTGACACTCCGAGCAGTGGACCGATCGACTATAACACGTACAAATATGTCGTCTGCGATGGGTGTCACCAAAGGCTCAGCAACGAACATACACCAGTCGAGATGCCCTATTGTCGCCACGTTTTCGGCAAAGGATGTATACAAGCTCGCATCTAGGAGCCGGAGCGATATCCTGGTCACTGCTTCTTGTGCGACGGCATTCCGGGACTGATAAACCTTGTGCGAGATGACGATCCAGGTGTGATTGCTAGAGGAAACCTACGAGATGGCAGCTATGCAGACCCCGATCCCAACCAAGTAGTGGAGTGGGGCCGTATCAATGCCCGAGAGCGGGCAAATGAATCGGAAAGACAAGCGCATTTCAAAAGAGAGACGGCAAGGGACCAACCGCTGTTTAACAACGGTGTTCCACCTCCGATAACAAGTTTTGGCCAGGCAAATATAGATGGAAGATCTCGCCCAGCACCAGCGAACGCCCGTTTCGATGCCGTCGAATTCGGATCCCACGAGCGAGCGAATCGGTTGGAGAGAGAAAACAGGATCACACAACGAGAGTCGGCCCAGCCCCGTGGATCTAGCAGTAGTGCTCTGCCGCCTGTAGGGAATTCCAACAATATCAACAAAGAGTCCCAGCTCGCACCGCCGAACGCTCAACCGTAGCTCGGCGAGAGTATAGAAAGTCGGCGTCAGAAAAATAAAGCTGCGTGGCGATTAGTTGAGGCACGCCAGTTGTTCAACAATGAGCCCAAAACCAAATCACCACCGCCAATCCATCCGCCCTTTCCTCCGCCAGCTGCCACCTTCATACCTGGTAAAGGCCACAATCAAACAGTCGAGGAGCTTCGCCAATCTGTCGGATTTCAGACATCGAAGGACAAATACGCCCCAAAAGGAAAGAAATGGTCATTTTCCGGAACACAATCATCTAATGTTGTGAATGGTCCTCTCCGACTAGAAGTTGCCCCATACAATAATCGAGTTACCCCATTCAGAGGACAAGCATTTCTACCGAAGAGGTCACCTTCCTTCAGCTCCGACAATCATACTCAACCATCCACCTCTGGTAGCACGCCTCTTCGACCAGAAGCTGCCGCGTTCGAAATGCCGAGATCCCTTCCACGGAAGCATTCGTCATTGGTAGAGTATGAAACATGGCCCATGTATACCGACTGGGCCGCAGTGCACAAAAGCTTTCGAGCTGATGATATCGTCGTCCCTGCATCCCAATTGCATCGAAACCCATACAGTGGGGCCTTGTTCAACAACTCCGGCCAAGAGGTAGTACCTCCTCCCAACAAGCACCCCCTTCCCAACAACCACCCCCTAAACACCTTAATGATAAACAATCCCGAGACGTTTCACCACGGCCAACTGGTGCAAAGCCGCCAGGTTTTCCCGCCTCCTTATAACCTACCAGGTGAGGTTCCTTCAGCAATTCCTGAAGGCGAAAAAGGAGTAGAACTGCTACAGCGGGCGTACGCCGGACTAGCGGTCACGCGGCGTAATCTACAGTTACGTCATGCGCAAGGACTTCCTCCTATTCAAATAGGTCCATATCCTCCAGCGGACCCTCCTCCATACGCAGCCGATCTATCAAACATGAATCCTGCATCATCGGAGTCGATGGTTACGATGACGGCGGTGGTAGAGGAGCAGGCGAAGAGGCATTACTCTTCAAACCCGAACCAGGGCAGCGGAAAAGAAGGAAATTCAATTCCGCGGACTGGGATTAGAAATGGGAATGTTGGGGGAGATGCAAGTGACATGTTCATTTCGCGAACAGATGTGATAGGTCGAGATTTGCCACGAAGGCAACCACGGGCAGCGTGTAGGGAAGCGAATCATGATGGGGGCAAGGAAGAGGATCTGCATGGTGGTAGAGGAGCAGGCCAGAGAAGAAATAGGAGATTTGGTTGGATGTTCGGTGACGCGGGAAGCCATGGACCGAGTTCAGCGGAGCACTGATCAGTGGGTTTGAGAGGGGTCGAGTTCTGGTCAGAGGAAGGCGAGGAGGGATTACGATTGTTTCTTACATGAGCAGAAGAGAGTGGATCAATAATGTACTGTTGAGATACATAGATGCACATGAGATATGCGAATTGCACCCAGGCATCGTGTTATCTTATTCAGGGGGGTATCACAATCATATTATCCGAACCTTGCCAAGCTAATCGAAAGACTACCCTAGTGCCAATACCAATACCAATACCAATAGCCGTACTCCAATACCATATATTACAAGCGCGAGATGAACTTCTTCCGTCCGCCCCACTCTCTAACCCCACATGCGTAGTCGACTGCACTCAATGAATCTTATCAATCCTCTTCTTAGCAATCTTGATCTTGCCATCCACCCTCTCGACATCCTCCTCAAACAACCCAAGCATGGCATTCTGCTCGACAATCTCCTTGTTAATTGTGACACCCATCTCCTTCATCCTCCTCACCACAGTCGCTATATCAACCAGATCCTCGTCCTGCGCCGCAATAATCTGCTGCTGCAACTGCAAAACACCTTCATTATCCAATTCGCGTGTTTTATCCGTTTCCTGCGCCGGTGCGCCGCCCAGCACCCTGCGACTGGACGACGACGACGGTTTGGCAGACGCCGCGCCTTTGAACAGACCCGCCTTCTGACTCTCCGTCACAGCAGCCGAAGACGTCGACGGCGCATTGTGCGAGGCGGCACCAGAACCCGATATCGCAGCCTTGACAGCCATGCTGTTGAGCACCGAATCTAGACCATCGCGTTCTTTGCGTAGACCACTGATCATGTCCTTTCTGCGGCGTATCTCGCCGTCGCCTAGTTTCTCGCCGGACCAGTCGTCCGAACCGCCTTTTGTGTTCGCGCCACCTAGCCGGCTCAAGCCTTCGTCCAGCGCCGAGATGAGCGTAGAAGCTCTGACGAGGCTCTTCTTGGCATTAGCCGCTGCCTCGTGCTGCGCAGTTGCTGCGGTCGCTTGTTCGCGTTTCGTCAACCATCTCCGTGCGTCTTGGAGGTTAGATTTGAGTTCAGCGTGTTTATCCAGCCAGTCCGACGAATCCCTCACCCTGTCTTTTCCAAACTGTGAACCGGGGAAGCCAGTAGTTTTCTTCCCGTTGCTGCCGTTTTGTTCGCCGCCAAGGTCGAGGAAGGACTTGTAGGCTTTGCAAATGCGCCAGCGTCCGTCTTCGCTGCTCTCGATGGCCCGCAGATAGGCCTCCAGGCCTGCTCGTCGCTTCTCGATGGCTTCGGGTGAGCTTGCCGTGTTGCCTATGCTTAGGAAGCCGCCGAGCCAGGATTTTGGTGGGAGGGGGGCGGGCGGCGCGCACCCGGCTTCTGATCGCAAGGCCGAGTCGAGAGAGGAGAAGTCGGAGTAGCGCTTCTGAACGCTGGTTGTGGCGCGGGGGAAGGGGTGTTCGATCTTGATGGTATACGATGTGTAGGCCTTTCCGTTCTCAGGTGTCTGGTTCTGTGCTGTCGGTATCGAGATCTTTAAAGGCGCCATGATTGCGATGTATGTGGTGGATGTTATGCAGGGTAAGAGTGGTGTTGTCGCTGATGTCGGCGGCAGGCGGCCGTCTTGTGTTTGGCCGGTGCCTCGCGCGGTCGCGTGCACTTTATTCGCGACGGTAGCGTTGTTTTGGCAGTCCAGGCTAGGTGTCTGCGCGTGATATGCGTGTATTCCGGTTATTGAAGGTTTATTGTCAAAGACGCGCTGAGCGCAAAAAGAAAAGACGTCTTGCGCGAGATCCAGGGTCCTGGCTTGATTGACGTCGTTGGACGCAGCCGCGGCACGCTAGCGCCACGTGCGTCACCTAGGCGATTAAAATTTACCTTAAAAAACTCAACACCATGACTCCTATCACCAACACCTTGTTCGACATCAGACGGCCACGTCCGACCCTAGGATCATGCATCACTCATATCATTCTTTTGATAAATAGCAGATGGGCTACTCTCGAACTTTCGCGACAGCAAGTACCTATGCAGTCAGGTAATTCAGAACAAGAAGTACCACAATCACGGTGATATCCTATACACCTTGGAATTAAAATCTTAAGAATGATCCGACTGAGAAGCAAGGGCTCTCACACCTTATCGTTCCGAGATCTCTTTGCCATCACAGCGGTCTTTTCGACTTTCGCAGTAGTCTCTTCTTCAGCAATTCTCTCGCGATGCAGCGATACCGCACTTTCGCATCTTCTTGTCGTTCCCTTTCCCTTCCTCTTCTTGTAAGTCGTAACCCGCATACTCTGCTCAGGATACCGCCCAATTTCTTGCCATGACAAGGTTTTGTGTAGGACCTCAACACCGTGCACTGCGTTGTCGGACATTTGTATAGCGTCCCGACGGCGTGCTACCTTGCTAATAGGAGCTCCAATTACCAAACATCTCTCGCGGTCGCAGTTGATCTGCCCGTGACTATTTTCTTGACTAATACCGTTAATCAAAGGTTCGCGGCGAGAGACTTTGGCGTGTCGCCATTGGCCGAGCGCACATTTCGGGGAGGAGTGCAAAGTAGTGAAGTTCTCGGCTCATTGTGATCACTTTCCTCTCTCACCTCTCTGTCCTCAACCACTGTGGCTATCCTTTGCTAAGTAGTATTACATTACTAAGATTTTTCTCACCTTCCCTTTGTTGTTAGCAACGGTCACTGCAACAAGTCTACCCGACTATATAACAAGAGTTGCTCTGTCAACCTCTAGTCAGCATCACTTCTAACCCAACATCACACTCTGCTTACTTACAACAAACATGCGGCTACTTGACTTACCACCAGAGATCTTCCAGCGTATTACGCACATCTTAGTCAAGAAACACGGCATTGCTGAAGCTTGGAAGGTTCGAGGAACAAGCAGTAAGAATCACGTCACAATCCATCTATCATGAACATCGCACTGATTTACTGGATATCAGAAGCTTTTCAAACCTACATCACCTACGAAGTCCTTGCTACCCCGTCTCTCTATGCATACAACAAGACACGTGCCGGACGCGAGATCCTTCAGCACAAACTCGCCGACTTCCTCTACACGCGTAGCACAAAGCTGAACGGCTTTGTGCGCACCCATGTCCCTGGGTTCATACGCGATGTCATCTTGATAAAGGAGTCTTGGATTACTGGCGATGAGGCAGTCTCCAAACTACGGAGGCTTCTATGCGAACTCTTTGCCTGCAATTGCGACGGCGCGCTGACGTTCGTTTTAACCCAAACAAACAAGCTAAACCACCACCAGATAGAGGCACTATCAGTGAGCAGCACAGTCAACTTGGTTGCTATGGCTGCTGATCTAGGCGATCTTTATCTCTTGAGAACCGAGGCTGCGAAGGATAGAGACTCACTGTGGCAGGAGTCGCCAGCCTTTGGATATCCGCTGGATGTCGCCGTTTATGCAGGGCACTTTGGTGTTGCTAAAGCGATCGCGCAACAAGCCGTCACCAACCAGAACGAGGACGTCGTCGATCTCCATCACCGTTACGGGTAAGTTTCCCACTGCAAGATGCAAACAAGACATATGCTGACTTTGCGCTTCCGGATCTAGTTCTCGACCTGAGCATATCTCATTTCGTCAAGCGATCTGCACCTGCATCGAGCTGCAACATTGCGGTATCATTGATTACTTACTTCATAAATACGTGGAAGCCTTTGGTTTCCCGACAGAGGCTTGCACGGCAGAATGGCTTGATAGAGCTGTTACATGTGGCCACAAAGACATGCTTCGTCTCCTGCTTTGTCGCCCGACGCAAGCAGGTATATCCACGTTTTATAAGGCATTCGAAACAGCCTGTCGCCTTTCGAAAGTCTCCCTTCTCCACATCTTCTTCCCTTATTCCCTGGGTGGTCCAGGGTGTTTAGCAATCAACCAAGTCTACCCATCGAGCATCAAAGGCTACCCATCTACCTACCCCCTCATCACCGCGATAAGGCTTGCAGAGGGACGCCGCATGACAACCATCATCAAAAAGCTCCTGGAACTTGGCGCGGATCCGAATGGACCGAAGTATCGAGCTGGTTTGAGACGACCGCTTTATTTGGCAACAACTGGTGAGTGTGTTTCGGGTATTCTGTCGTTACTAGACGCAGGTGCCAACCCGTACTTGATCAATGATGCCCGATGGATAAAGGTGCAGCGGAAGAGGTATGGTAAGCAGACATCGAAAGGGAAGGCGTTGAGAATAGCGCTAAAGCGTTATGCGAAGCCAAAGCTTGCGAAGGGGGTGGAAGGATTTCTTGCTGAGGTGGCTGTGAAGGACGTGAACTTGAAGCCGGCGTTCTTTGGTTGCACGCAGTCATAGGTTGACACTGGAATCTCACACTGTCAGTATCAGGGTCTATGTAGTTGATCAGTATCAAGATTAGATATCACAGCATTGGATCCGGATGTGACTTAGTCTCCCAGGAAGATCCTATTGATTGGCCTGTTTAAGCGGTGTCGCATACGCCCATACCTTCGGTCCAGGAATCTTATATCCCTCAATCTTCCTATGTACATCCACTAGTATACCCTCATCGCTACTCCCATATAACTCTTCCCCCTTCACACCCCCATCCAACCTCCTCCCCTCCCCACCCGTCCCTCGCGCCACCCGGAGATTCACGCACTGCGGATATGCTTGTGCTCCGTCCACCTTTTCCGCAACGTGCAACGCGATAATCTCATGTCTTAGCACATAACTTCCCTCCTCCAGCACCTCTGGTATCCTGACCACCCATGAAAAACCATTCGCGATGAGTACATTCGCCGCCCATGTTCCACCTAGATCTATCACGTTCCAACCTGTACTGTTCAGCCATCCCAGCTCATCAATTTTCACCCACTCCAAGTCGTCTTTCTTTGCGTCCGCACAGCTGCCCTCGCATTGTGCTAGATATGTCATCACAGGCCCGACGTGTGAAGTTGGCCATTCATTCCATTGTAGCTTTAGTTCCTCGCCGGCTGTTATAGGAATTTGGAGAGCGCCGGGGACGGCGTTGTAGTGGCAGGAAATATTTGTGGTGTTGAATTGAGAGGGTGGGATGTATATGTTGCCTAGACAGCGTCAAATGTGTTGAACCGTCACGATGAAGCAACTATCTTGCCTAAGTTCGATGCTGACCATGCAGCAAGAGGCTGTGGCGGTATCAGGTCATCCGAAGATGCGGGATCCCAACCATTGTAGGTGTCACCGGTAGTAGTTGTTATACGCGTTACTCGACCATGTGCATACGCGGTAGTAATCAAGAAAGACGATAGAATCTTCTTCGAAAGTCGCATTTTCAGTTAAGCCTTGGGTAGCTGAGTCGGACTAAGGAGGGCGATGCGAACGGGTACGGCTTAAGTGAATCGCGCCGAACTCTCAAAAAGGGCACCGAGCAGGATACAAGCATCTCTTGATGACCGTGAACCAGGGTATCGGGCCCGGCAAAGGTCTTCGTAATGATTGTTTACCCATACACATTCTGTAATTACCCCAGATTTGGCGATGTTGTACCTCATATCAGGATCGACCGCTGATTGGCTGACCTCTTCCGTTACTTAACAGGACTTACTCTAGACCTTGCGCGTCTAGTCAGGAGACGATGGCAGTGAGGTTCCACTTGGAAACAGGAAGACTCTGTATATTACGCCATTGGTTCAGCGCTACCTGAACAGCCTCGGTTGCTGTACCCCCAGACTATGACGAGATTGCAAGAGCGAGCCACGAGTGGCAACCAAACAGGTACTTGATTTCCTCTCGCCGCCTTCTGGCCTATGATGAACCTCTAGTAAGAGACTTGCAGCCCGTTGTAGCCATGCTTGACAAACTGGCACTGGAGCTGGCAAGCTCCATCGGAAGTGCGCCGGGAATGTTGTGGTGCTTCTAACGACAACGCAGTTTGAATTCATATACTGTTATCAGAAGGTTGAGTTGTTTGCAGAAGCAAATGAACATTCAATGCGCTGCTCATGCAGGGTCGTTGTCTGTTCCTGTGGAAGCTGTAAAAGCCGCAGGTGTCCTATGAAGTTCGCGGGTCATGACGCACGATGCGGCGTGGTGGACCCGGGGTAGATCTCGACCCGATCCGTCTAAGCGCTCGGCAAGTTAGATCACCGGGTCAAAGGCTAACGAACCAACCCTTTTCTACCCCACAAACAAGACACCGGAGTAGCCATCGTGATCATGAAGTCTCTCCACAAGGCAGCTAGGGCGAGCTTCACATCTCAGACGACTTGGGCTACTAACGGCCCGCGCGATGACGTCCAACTCTTTTGTGTCGTGTGACAGCATTTCACGTGCGGGTCATGAACAGGGCGGTATGGGGTCGAAAAGTATATAAGTGAAGCATGGACCAGGAAAGAAGAAAAGTATTGACTCTATTGTTTGTGCGCACGGCCCGGAATATGTGAAATAGCGGTAATAGAAGACCCTGCTTGGTATTTCAATCACCGAGATTGTATTTGTGAAGCACTTGACGTTCGCCGTACCTATCACCACTTACCACAACCTGGAATTACTGGAGGATCTTTTAACGACAAAAGTAAGTTCCTGACCCTCAGTATGCGGTACCTAACAGTTAATGTATCAATCAGAATTGCCATGGTCGCATTGACGGTACTGGGTTCAGCCGCCCTGATAGCTGGCGTCCTAGCCTACCCTCAAGGGTCACCAAACTCTCCTCCACCTGCCACTGACCTATCCTCACCATGCGCGGAAGCAGCTACGAGGCTGTCTCTTCAAGACGGTCCCCAGGACAACCACTTCTATTCTGACTGTCATACTAGCGCCCACGTTATCGTCACCAGTCCTCAGCCCAACAGCGATCTCAACGTTGTCAAGCCTCGCCTGCTTGTTGCATGGCCCGCTGGCAATAGTGGCGCTATGGCGCTCTTTGCCCCTGAGAGCGGCCAGGGCAGTTTGACCATGAGGCTAGAAGATTCCGAGAACGGACAGTCAGTGAAGCCATTGACCGCGTCGGACCGCGTGGGTGTTTCAGGGTCCATCAACTTCGATACGTCTGCTAGACTGACCGTACCTATCCTGGGCAGTATACGAAGCATCCGCGACTTCACAGAGGGAGGTGGGGTCAGTCAAGACTTCCAGAACAGCTTCGGATTCGCGATCAACGGAGATGGCAGCGCATCGATCAACCGCACTTGGTTTGACGGCGTAACAACTACCACGCTGAAATTCTCGCCTTTGAATGGTGCCCAAGCTATCACGCTCAACCGCGAAGCAGCATGGACTTTGACTTTCGGCGCGGGGAGCTATAGCTTCGAAGCTTCTTACAACTACCCACAGCTGGAGCAGCTTAGCCCACAGGAAGTCCTAAATGATGCGTCTTCGGGATTGATCGCGCAAAACCCGGATCAAACCACCTCATTGTCATTTCTGTCATACACAGATAAACTTCTAGCTGGCACCTGGCGCTTCCTCACCTACTTTGGCCGCGACAGTATGCTGTCACTGCTCCTGATGCAATCTATTCTCAGCGAAGCCGCTATTGAAGCTGTCATCGGAGCTGTCATCGAGCGAATCAACCGCAATGATGGCACAGTGTGTCACGAAGAGGTTATTGGTGACTACTCGACTTGGCTGAACAAAAAGAAGGGAGTTGATTCTAGTGCGCCCAGCTGTGACTACAAGATGATCGACAGCGATTTCATGCTCCCCGTCGCTATGAAGAGCTACTTTGTAGACACAGACGCTGGCAAGCAACGTTCCGATGCTTTCTTCCGCAAGACTGCAACGTTTCTCGCCGAGAACGACGGGCTGCCTTACTCTCAGCTGGCCCAAACTACCGCCGAAAAGATCATGCGGATCGCTGAACCGTTTGCGCAAAGTCCTGTAAAAGATAATCTCATCAAACTTAACCAGGGCGAATCTGTTGGTGAATGGCGCGACTCCAATAACGGCCTAGGAGGGGGCCGCATACCGTACGACGTTAACACGGCGCTTGTACCAGCAGGTCTTCGGGCTATCGCTAGCCTGAGTGGTGCAGGTTTCTTCCCAGACCACCCAGACTGGTCTCAAAAGGCTGATCAGTACGCCCAGATCTGGGAAGACGAGACGCTACAATTCTTCCAGGTCACCGTACCGCAAGCCACTGCCAAATCTCTTGTGCAAAATTATGTCTCCGCCGCAAACCTTGGTGTACCAAGCAACGCCGATAGTATTGCTGGCGATGTCACTTACTATGGTCTCGCCCTAGATGGCAATGTTGGTTCACCAGTCGTGCCTGTCATGAACACCGACGATTGCTTCCGTCACTTCTTCCTGGACACCACGAACCAAACCCAGCTGACGTCATATATCGACCAGACTGCTTCTCACATTCTTCAACCATTCCCGGTAGGCTTATCGAGCAACGTTGGCTTGTTCGTTGCCAACCCAGCCTACGCCGGAGACGCAGGCTTTGCTGCAGGCTTCTCAAAGACAGATTACCACGGGACTGTGGTTTGGAGCTGGCAACTCGCAATGATGGGTGCTGGACTGGCACGACAACTGGGTCGATGCGCGAGGGACGACGCTCCTGGTAAGCTACTAATGTTTTCCTGCATCATAAACTCTGCTGACGCCCTCTTTTAGAATTCTGCACAAACTCCGAGGTTCATGATAAGGTTGTTCGTGCTTACAACAGCCTGTGGGATACCATTGATGCCAACCGCGATCAGCTCAGCCATGAAGTCTGGAGCTGGCAGTACAATAATGGATTTCAGGTTGCGCAGCTTGGCTCGTTGACTTCGACCGAGAGCAACATTCGACAGCTTTGGAGTCTGACCTTCCTTGCGGTCAAGAGGGAGAGTTTTTAGGCCTCTTCAAGATGGCCTGTTTGTGTGCGGGCTCAGGATCGGCTTGGATACGAAGAGGCGAGGCTACATATCATGTGATGGAATGGTGTAGGCTACGACGTGATGATTTACGATTGATGAATACAGAATTACATAACAAATATTCTTGATCCTGGACGAAGAGCTAGCAAAGGTCGCACTAATGTCGGCATTCGGCATTACCAACGTCCGACATTCACTGTCTTGAACATCAAGGGATGCTAAACAGATTTACGCCATGACCAAAGCCTCGTTCTCTTATAGCCAATCGTGAGAGCTGGGCTTCGTATTCAATCGGTATCTCGGTACTTGTAAAGAGTGTCTGGAGGAGGAAAGCGTAGCCGCTTTTATGGTAATTTATTCCCATATCTGATATGTCTCTGAAGGTATAAAACGGACCAGCGTACCGCACATGCATGAATAACGCCTTTGATCTCTATTATGTACGGAAAGAAAACCTGGCACAAATGACCACTTCAACTCTCTTCAACTCTCTCGAGGACGAGCGTTCTTTCCGCGAACTTTCCTTCAAATGGTCGATCGCGTGGGATAAAAAGGTCTTTACACTAACTTGAGATGCGCAAGAACCGCTTCGTAGCAATGTACTGATATTCATACTAGGATCTACCGACTTTCCTCACAATAACAGCACCGGAGATAGTTGCAGACTACTCCGACTTCCCTGCTGTGGGGACAGTTCGAAAGTGCCCTCCCAAGCAATTCTTCGAGAGCGCTTTCAGGACAGAAGGCTTAGGGCATCCGGACCGTACGTTTCACCCACCATTACGACCCTCCTTGATTCTTTCTCCTCTTCATCTGCAATATCTTCTGCATATTCTCAATAACACCACTCCAAGTCAAAACCCAGCACCTCCTTGGTGGTAGCATGTTCACTCGCACGAGCGCCTCAGAAGCCAAAGGAACCTGGCAAGTTCGCGCATGGCACGTGAGAGAGTTTTCCGATGGACATGTTGGCGAGTGGGATAATAGCTCGTTTCTGGAGTTCACGTACGTCAAGATAGAGAGTGGAGAGTGGAAGGTCAAAGGATGGAGACCGCATGGTGGGCTCGCCATGATCGGCAATCACGACGATGTATTCGGGAAGTAGGTTGACATTTATGGGAAGGGGAAGTATGATGACAGGATGTGATGTTAAAAGATGGTGTACATACATACTCAACCTGAACCAGAGCGGTGAACAGCCTTGCCAAGTATGACCCTCGAGCCACAGATCACTGATAACGACCATATGAACATCAACGCCGTCGATGACAAGGTCGCCTCATATGAACAGGAAGGGTCATCGCAGCCGCGATTCCTACGAGATCACGATCCACAAATAGTCTACTGTAGACTTTCCTGAAAGAACGTCGTGAGCGTCGCAAACGGAATGAGCTCTACGCGATCGTAAAGATCAACATGCCCAGCATTCGGTACCCAGACCATCTCTTTCGGCTCCCCCGCCCTCGCAAAAGCAATCTCGCTAAACTCTTTCGAATGCGCCTGATCACCCGCAACGAACATCATTGGACGAGGCGAGATGGACTCGATATCCTCAAACGGGTAGAAATTGATGAACTTGACATTGCTCGACGTCGTTGGATCGGTAGTGATGTTCCGTGAGATACCATCGGGCGTGTACTCCCCGCGAGGAGTGCGGTAAAAGTCATAGAATTCAAGCCCGACCGGAGTTGAGTTTGTCGTGTGTGGTGCGCCATCGGTGTGGGCGATAGAGCTGCCATCTACTTCGGCCCAGCGCTGTGCGTTTGCTGCGGCGATGAAGTCCTGGCGTTGTGTGAGGTTTCGGGAGTTCCCTAAGCCAGTGCGATGGAGCATGCCATGGTTGCTGAACGTGGGTGTATGTAGTTAGTGCATATCTCAAACGCAGCTTGAATAGAGATGCCTTACTACATGCTGACTGTTGCAACAGCTTTGATCCGGGAATCAATCTTGGCAGCACTGATGACGAATGCGCTGCTGCCACAAACACCAACAATGCCAATCTTCTCTCGATCGACAAATTCTTGCGTGCCGAGGAAATCTACCGCGGAGCTGTATGCCTCTGCATAGAGGTCGGGCAGAACGGCATTGCGCGGTGTGCCTGCACTGATGCCCCAGAACGGAAGATCGAGGGACACGGTGACGAAGCCCTGCTCTGCTAGCTTTTGAGCGTAGAGGTTTGCGCTCTGCTCCTTCGTTGCACCGAAAGGGTGGCCAACAATGATGGCTGGTGCATCGGTACGGTTGAGATCGTGTGGAACGAAGATGTTGCCAGCGACGTCGGAGTGGTAAAGTGTTGGGAAACTGATGGGGGTTAAGGTGACGTTGTTGCTGCGATAGAAGTTGTCTGCTCCGAATGAGAGATTCTGTGCCATAGTCGACATCGTCATCATGCTTGTTGCGGTAATAGAAGAGAATGTAGCCCTCATTCTGTGGTAGCGCTACTAGGATAGTAATGCAATTGTAGAAAAGGCAGATGGAATTTGTGACCTTTTACTGCGTAGACGTCGGTCGGCTTTATATCCTTCGATGGGTAACTAGTGCGATTTGGCAGGTCCACATACCACCTTACAGGTTACATACGTATCTCGGTCATTCCGACGGACTCGATACCTGGAAGGCATGTAATCTTCCAAGATATCGCACTGTCCCTGTCATGATGGGTCAAAACGTTGACACAACCTCACCGAATAGCGCCGGACAACTCGCAAGGTCGTATTATTCATGCCGTTAATCAAGCATATACATGTGAGATTGAAAAGCATTACGAATGCCTTGAGCCAAAACCGTAGGACTGCTTGACGTCGTTGATGCCAAGACAGTGCAAACTGCTGACAGAGGCTAAGACCGATTAGGAAAGCACTTACATGAAGGCATTGTCTCGACACTGACTTTTGATGATTACTCATCCAAAACATATTCATCGTAATAGTTTGCAACTCCAGCATATTCCCGGCTCCTTGTCGATATGCCCTTGCACACCGTCTGTTCATGGTCGCCATGCGGAAGGACGTCGATTGATGTTCACTCCAGCAGTAGCAGTAATGCAAGACCGCTACATCATCGACGGCTCTCAGTTGCATTTGACGAGAATGAGATGGGTCTCTCACCTCTCCTTCTTCGCCAGTTGTTTGTAGACTCCAACAACGTCGTACATCCGTCCAGTAGATGACTCCATTTCCTCAGAAACTCAATATTGACTTCCCACTTCCAGATATCTCAAGGTTCGCCCCATACCAGAAGTGACGGACTCTCAGCACTACCAGGAGCGCACTTTGTCTCCAGAAGATCGAACCACAACTCATCTTCGTCAAAGTGCGGGTCTTGTATAGCTGCCCGGAGGATGTTATCTCGGAATTGAGGTAAAGGGAACAAATCCACCCATGGATGGTGCGAAGTGGTCAGTTGTAGCACCGTGGGAAACAGGACACGAGGGCACGCGAGCTCGAGCGGTCTATGCTGGGTCAAAGGAGACACAGAGTCGCAAAGCAGCCATGACTTTGAAAGACCAAGCACCGAAGCATTGCCGGCTAGAGCATTTAGAATGTTCAGGTGGATGATGGTGGGTAGATGAGATAAGAGGGGCGCATTTTGCAGATATCGGATATACGCTGCATCTGCGAATTGACGGATGACTTGTTCCAGTTCTGGAGTGATCAATGTGTCGGTCGTTCCTGACGCTTTCAATTCCAAGTACGAGGCAAGTAGTTCCTTTGGAGGCGCGCGGCTTTTCTGGGATATCAAGGCAAGAGTCGAGTTCGACGCCTCGAATTTTCTTCTACCTTATAGTTGTTACTCTCAGCGTCTGGATGCATGTATATGAGGCACTCACGACGAGCTCTTTGATTGAGTCGATTCTGAAGCTTGCGTCTTTCTGAGCTTGGTTTTCCGCTCCAGTCTTCCTCTTTGCTGATCGCATCAGGTATACGCGATGTCGGTATGATCATCATGTTAGATGCATCTGAATGAGGGTTCTGCAGCGCCATATTGAAACTAGTGCGTATCGCACTCCATTGACCTTGGACATGAAGCCTCTTTATGCGACATGCTGACTACAAGGTAGGCGAGTTTGAGCTTAGCTCCGTGTCTTTGGTCAAAACAGTTCTAGCGTGTTTTCGGTCCTTAGTGAACAGCTTGTTCACTCAAAACCGCCGTTCGGCCAAAACCACGATTTCAACAATCATCGCGCTGCAACAGAAGCGCTGCACGAACGCTATAGCAAAGGGCAGACGCAGGCGTCCACGCAAAATCACTCTACCATGCGGATCCCCCCGTCCCTTATGCAGAGATGCGTACATGGTGCCTTACATCAGGCTTTGTAAGGAGGATAGATCCAAGTCTGGAAGAGAGGGGTGCCAAGACATACAAGCCGCTAATGCAGAGAGCTGACAGCTACAGTAAAGATCTACATTTGTAATCTTGCCGCGTAGCTCGTCGAAATTACATCTCCAGGGCTATCCCCTAGATACCATCACGTGTGCCAACCTGGATGTACCGGGATGATGACGCAGTTGGATGTCTACTTACCCATCCACTTTTCCGCAAATCGGAAGGCGTGATGACTGATTGTAGGAGAATCAGGAAGGCAGTTTACTTGAGACTACAGGTATAAAGGCATATCTATCTCGGACGTCCGTCGCTACTTTGCTTGTAACAACCCCAAACTTCTCCGGTCCATATCTCTCCATATCAACATGACGATGAAGCTCGCCCGCGCTTGTGCATTTGCGCTTGCGACATCGACCCTTGCGTTCGCCTGGAAGGAGCCAGTATCTCTATTTCCATCTGTGATCAGCGAAGGCCAACCAAAGGGCGAGATCAAGAATATCAGCGGAAGTAAGTCCGTCTCGGGACCAATTGATCGTTGTGCGCAGCTCTAAAATGTCAAAGTTGAAATGTACCATACGTACCCGGACCATCGCAGCAAGACAAATAGCAGCAACGCGATCCTCTTCATATCCGACATCTTTGGAATCCCTCTCCTCCAAAACAAGTTGTAAGTTTGCGCGGCAAAAGTTTGCAAACTTATGGAAGCTAATTCGTGTTCTAGGCTTGCAGACTCGTATGCTCGTGCAGGATATCTTACCGTGATACCAGATCTGTTCGCCGGCGACGCAATTCCTAGCGACATTCCCGAAAGCCAGCTCAACTTGACCGCGTGGTTTCCCAACCACCAGCCCGCCAACGTCGAGCCCGTCATCGAGAAGACGATCGCATACCTACGCGACGACCTCGGTATTCAAACTATTGGGGCTGTTGGATATTGCTTTGGAGGCAGATATGTAGCTCGCTTCTTGGCTGAAGGCAAGGGCGTTGATTTGGGCTTTACTGCGCATCCGAGCGTGCTTTCCAACGCCGAAATCGCCCAGATTGTAAACCCAATTAGTATCGCGGCTGGTGGTGAGTGTGCTCTTGCAGTGGCGTGTCGTGAGCAGACTGACGCGGTGATTAGAACTTGATGCGACTTTTAATATCACGCAACGTTATGATGCCGACCGTCTTCTCACGGGTAACAATGTCACGTACGAACAGACATTGTACTCGGGCGCCCCCCACGGATTTGGAGTTAGAGTCAATGCCAACATCCCCAGGCAGAAGTATGCAAAGCAGTCGGCGTATATTCAGGCGTTGAAGTGGTTCGACTTCTGGCTCTAGAAGCTTCGCGAGCGGTTGGTGTTAGGTCTTGCTTTGGCACCTGCCGTTGAATGTGTCACGGTGTGACGGTACTGTGTCGTACTGGCGAACATGGAGCTTCCTTGCTTCCTTGTACTGATATGAAGAGAAGAGATTGAGAATTGAACAAGATGTAAGCTGCGCCCTATGGATGAGTCTTCTGGATGCGATAGCGCATACATTTGTACATAGCAAGCACTACACGGGTAGACCTTTTATGGTCCTTACGTTCGTTTGTTGGTTCCTTCCATTCGTACGTGACGGTCGATGATGTGCGATAGTTGGTGATGTTGGTGATGTTGGTGATGTTGGTGATGTTGGTGATGTTGGTGATGTTGGTGATGTTGGTGATGTTGGTGATGTTGGTGATGTCGGTGTTGGTGGTGTTCAGTGAGAACGCCGTTCAGTGCACCAGATACCCCCGGGACTGTGTGCAAGCGCCGGATGAGAAATGCACGTGCAACGCGACGAGCGGGGTCGAACAGTATGACAATAGAATATCGCTTGAGCTATGCTCAGTCACCTCTAATTTCTCCGTACAGCGCAGGCCCATAAGTGCAGCATCCGTCTGCCCTATGACCCGTTGTACCGACCTTCCACGACTTCTTGCGATTGTCATATGGTGTTAGTGCCGAAAGTCTGGGCCGTTTGATGGTATCGCATCATGCTTTGACGTCCACACAATGCTGCAGTGTCGAAGCAAGTCTGAGGCTCTTTTTCCGCCTTCATGCCGCCTCTTGCAGGGTGTATGTCCCGCGTAAATTAACGGTCGTCCGGCAGCTGCATTTAGCCTTGCACATAGTGCCCCGGAAACACGTAGCGGCATGCAAATGTCGGTCGCGTCACGGAAATCTCCTTCTCTCCGTGGCTACGACGTACGTTTAGGTGCGTATAGATGCGTCAAGAGTGATGGAGATGTCATCTTCATATGCTGCAAACGATGTTAGAGTGCGCGATAGATGGTTTGTTGCGAGGCGTCCTTGTCGACAACATGGAAGAGGAGAAGATAAGAAGGCGGTCCGGCCAACTTACCAGACATGATACAGAAGCAACAGCGATACACAGATACGAACATCTTCCCATACTCCCACAGCCGTCACAATGGTATCCCTCAAGTGCCTCTCCGCCATTGCCCTCCTCGCAATCGCTTCAGCTCAGTCGACAAACAACACAACCCCAATTCGCTACATGCCCTTTGGCGACAGCATAACGGAAATAGTCTGCTGGCGATCAAAACTGTGGCAGAGGCTCCGGACCACTGAGTGGGCAAACGTCAACTTCGTTGGCAGTGGCAAGACGGAGAACAACTGCCGCGACACGACCTATGACCGCGACAATGAAGGACACTCTGGTCACTATGCCCATATACGAAATGCGTTGGAGAAGAAAACTGACTCGGTAAAACGAACTGTAGGCTTCCTCGCCATCGATATCGCGAATAAGAACCAGCTTGACGGATGGCTGAAGACGAACCCCGCAGATGTCATCACCATGCACCTGGGCACAAACGATATCGTGCAGCAGAACAAAGCGGTGACGGACATCATCGCTGCGTTCACCAAACTCATTGGCACCATGCGGACGTCAAATCCCAAGATGAAGATCATCGTACGTCTCTCTTACCCAGCATGTGCCTATGCCACAGTGTCAGACATGCACCTACTTACCTTGGCATCTCAGGTTGCTCAAATCATCCCCCTAGGCATCGGGAACTACAACGGCAAGGTCCAGGAACTGAACCGCGCGATCGTGCCCTGGGCGCAAGGTCTCAATACGACGCAGAGCCCCATCTGGGTTGTAGACCAGTATACGGGGTTTAGTGGGAGTGCGGATCTGAGGGACGGAGTACATCCAAATGATAGCGGCGATGTCAAAATGGCGAACGTGTGGTATCCTGCCGTTGTGAAGGCTTTTGAGGCTGCGAGAACCGACAGGGTTGTCGTCGGGAGGGAGTTTGCGGCATAGATGGAAGCAAGACTGGGAAAGGGCAATAGTGGTTTAGATAAGCCGATGATGTTCCATGACGGATCAGCTCATAGAAATTCTCGTGTCAGTAAGAGTGTGTAGCACGTGACGTGGAACGCTATGGCATCGGCGCTAAGAACTTGGTGGGGCAACGGCGCCCAAATTGTCGACTCCCCGACGGGGCAGGCGCATCAACAAATAACAGCAATCGTCTTCGCCCACCGCCTCCAGCGCCACCTCTGTACACAGACACTCTAGTCTATGCTTTTATCTCATTGCTGATCATTCAAAACAAAGTTTTAGACGTCAGCACAAAGGCATATCCGCCATGGGAGAATCAAGGTACGGTCTTCGAGGGGTTAGGCTGCGATGGAGAGACGACATGTGCAGAGCATAGGCTGACAAGACGTGCACAGACAAGAACTCGTGGCCTGGTTGAACAACCTCCTCCAGCTCAACATCACCAAAGTCGAACAATGCGGTACCGGGTACGTCAGACGCGCCGAGCCAAGGCACAGAGGGGCATCAAGGGTCCAGGGCCTGAGGACGTGTACTGACATGGCGGAACAGAGCAGCACTGTGCCAGGTCTTCGACAGCATATTCTGTAAGCCTCCCACCTGTTGTGTGTGTGCGCGAGGCGAGATTAAGACTAACAGCGTGGAACAACAGACGATGTGCCCATGTCGCGAGTCAAGTTCAATGCCAACACTGAGTATGCATACCTGCAGAACTTCAAGGTATTACAGAGTATGTCTCTCTCACAGTGAACACGCTGTACTGCACTTCCTCTAACACGCACGCTAGACACGTTCGCCAAGCACCAGATCGACAAGCCCATCCGCGTCGAGTCGCTCGTAAAGTGCAAGATGCAGGACAACCTCGAGTTCCTCCAATTCGTCAAGCAGTACTGGGACCAGCACTTCCCAGGCCACGAATACGACCCCGTTGCCCGCCGCAAGGGCCAGGGCGGCGTCGCCACTGGAGCCGCAGCACCCCGCGCCGCTGCCTCGACCGCCCGACGAGCACCCGCTGCCTCCAACACGGCCGCACCGCGTACCCGCACACCCCTGGCGTCTGGCGGAGGAGCCGCGAGCGCCGCCCTGCGCGAGGAAAACACGGCGCTCAAGGAGACGGTGACGGGCCTGGAGCGCGAGCGCGACTTTTACTTTAGCAAGCTGCGCGACATTGAGCTGTTGATTCAGCAGGCCATGGAAGCGGATCCAGAGCTTGAAAAGGACGAGGGCTTGCTCAAGCAGATTCAAAACATACTCTACTCCACCGAGGAGGGCTTCGAGATCCCGCCCGAGGCCGAGGGCGCCGAGGAGGAGACGTTTTAGAGCGAGGTCGCTACTCCGACGACGACGATGACGATGACGAACAGGGACGTACAAGAGGAACTGAGGAACGTTATCCAGGCGGCACAGGACTTGATGGACGAGACGGATGCAGTTGAGGCGGCTAGGGAGGCTGGCAATGTGGTGGTGTTAACGCTGGCATGATGAGGCCCGACGACGCTGTTGCGATGGGGGTGGACCGAGACATCTTTCCTGGTGACGAGCCTTAGTCCTTGGCATCTTCTTTTTTTGGGGTGCTCTTATTCTCCCTCATCCTGCGAAAGCTTGTCATGTCTTCGTTCATCTTTCTCGTTTTCGTCATCATCGTCTCCAGTGTCTTGTCTAGCTGAGCCAGTTCGTCGGATTAGTTCCTCAAGTGGGTGAGAGAGGAGAGGAGGGTTATGATTGCATTTGGAAGCGAGGATACCACTTTCCACTGGGGAAGACTCGACGTCTTTCTCTGTTTCAATACACGAGTTTCATGGTTCGGTCTTCTTCTTTTTTGGACGTTCATCTCTCGTTAACTTTGCATGATATCCTTGTTGTTCCACTTCTGCCATGGTCTTGCTACAAGCATACATGCGGTTTGAGAGGGTCTGTGGCCGCTACAGAACTTGCTCTGATGTCGATGTTCGTGGAGGTGCGGAACAAGATACTGGTGCAAGATACTGGGCAGTGGTGAATGCTTCTGGCGCTGACGACTGCAGTGAGCCCACGTATCATCTTCACGCGATGGCAATGTCGCGTCCATGCCGGATACGAGCTCAGCGTGAGGAGGAATTTGTAGGGTTTACAATGTACGCGTTCCTGCACCACACAAAGTCGTAGCGTCTACGTTACTTTCTAGCATTCTATACAGCCAGATATAACTCACTGTATCCGCTTCGCTGTGACTTCACCTTGTCTTCCACTGTGCGAGTACTGACTGCTCCATGCCTTCACAGCGAGCGGAGAAATGGTACCCATACATTGCCAGTATTCTGGTACCTCTGCTCAAACTGCCGTACATCATCACTACCTCTATTACAGCAAAGCAGCACACACTTCGATCGGACCATGCAGTATATATGTACCGTATGCTTGTCTAAGAGACCTATCATAACCTTCAGGTGTAAATCCACATCCCAGCTAGATTCACAGACAAGTCGGCTTTTATTAGAACATGACACCGAGATACCTGACACGTCGGCAGTAGAGCCAGAAGCTGATGAGCAGAGTGATGACTGGGATACAGTCGAGGTCAAAGACAAGGAATGGACCGACGAAGAGCTAATGGACGATGCGCGGCCGGGGAGACGAAGTAAGACGGCGTGTTTGGAAGAAAAGAAAATGACTTTTGGTAATATTTAGATGGGGCGAAGAAAGGACTAATGAAGCTGTCTCTGTTCCAGCCCTGAAGTCAAAACCCCCAACCTCTGAGTTCTCGCGGTGAATTTTTCCACGGATTGTTGGACGGGAAAAGGGAGGACAGTTGGGGGTAAGAGGGTACTGGGAGAGCTAAGATACAACGCAAGGATGTAAGCGCTGAAGAAACAAACATGTCGCAAAAGCAATGGACCTTGAGCGTTTCGGTTCGGCAAAGAGGCGTAGAAAATGTGTGTGTTGACTTGCGAATGTGAATAATGTCAAGGAGATGTATGTTAGTATATCACTTTGTGATCGAGATGGACGGAAGGAAACAGTGATCAGAAGTCTGAAAAGAGACAAGAAGATGCTGATCACATTTTGAGTAAGTCATTAACAAATGGCGGTAGTATTGATTATCGTAGATAGGCTGTGAACGGATACGCTGTTGAGTGGTGTTGCCAGACAGTCAAGCCTCGTCACACCTGCAGCGCAGTCACTAAGCTCTTGTAATGCCAACATTTTAGTCACATAGAAAAAGAAACCATTTCCCAAGAGCCTCAATTTCGACAATAGTTCTAGCCGATGGCGCTATTGATCTGGAACTTTGGAAGCGTTGCACAAAGGGTCCTACTGGAACGCTAAACCCAGTTTCGCGTTCGCAGGGCTCAACAGCTTGCCTTGGTAGGGGAAGCCCAGCGGCGTTTGTGACGAGCGCTAACCGCTTATCTCCAACCGTCCGCGCATAAACTCAGTAGATCTTCAATAAGTTCGTCTTGTCGCCGACTTGAGTGAGTTGCGGGAGAATACCGTCTCTGCATCACGATCGTGCAACATGGCAAAACAAAAAAAGGAAAGCTGAGCCCACAAAGCGACCACCACCCTTGTTGACAGTTGTAGATGTCGTAATTCCCAATATGAAACTAGCATTGGTGTCCGTGGCTGTGGAGACTCTCCGCGCGCTCCAAACGAGCAAACGATCTGAAGATGCACCCTTTCGTGACATCATGCTCACTAGCCCCGTCTCGCTAACCCGCAAACAGCGCAAGTGTCGTCACTTAGCCGGCGATCTGAACGCATCCCGTACGGCACATCCTCTCCATCACGAACTTCTGACCACTCACGCCAAAGCGGCCGCTGCATCATGCACCGCTATCCACCTCCGCGGGCGTGCCATGATCGGGGATTGAAGGGTTTCAACGCAGGGATTGACACCGTGTGGCTGGACTTGATGATCGTGGCTCGCGGCCAACATCGCGCAAAGGACCGCCAAACGTGAGACGTGCGGCTGCTTATTGGATTTGTTCATAACGCCATGACGGGTGAACCGCTGGTCTCATGTGTAGTCCGCGTCAGGACCCCGCCGACCATCTGCGGCGCTCAGGCTTGTGGAAGACGTCAGGTTTGCTAGCGGACAGGTAGATCTGTTTCTTGTGGTGGTTTTGTGGCGTCAAACTTAAGCTGTGAGCTATAGGAGTAGTTGTCTTCCTTAGTTTCCCTTTCTACTCTTTTCCCAGCCTGGTGGCATTTGTTGTCTTTTGGTCAAGCGTAGCGAACTTTTGCTTTACACCGTTTCCTTATCGAACAAGTAGCGACTGCAGTTAGCCCTCAGTCTTTAGCCGTCGTCGCGATGGCGCTCAAGAACATCCTTCCGCTACACAAGAAAGACGCGTCCCCGTCGTCTTACAAGCCAAAAACCTTGCCAAAGGATGGTACGCCTCCAGGCCATCCCACACGATCCGGCTTCATACCAAACCGGTGGCGCAATGAAATTGTCGCTGCTGCTGCAGAGTTCGCAGGCACTTTCATGTTCCTATTCTTTGCGTTTGGAGGAACAAGTGTAGCCAACACGGCAGCGACATACAGCAATCGAACAACGTCTGGACAAGCCAACAACAGCATCACGCAGGCGCCGGACACCAGTGTGCTGCTGTACATCAGTCTGATCTTTGGTTTCAGTCTGATGGTCAATGTGTGGGTATTCTTCAGGGTGAGCGGAGGACTATTCAATCCTGCTGTAAGTTGGCCTGATGGCATCTAAAAACGTCTGGAAGATGGGCTGACCATGACCACAGGTGACACTCGGTCTCTATCTCATCGGAGCCATCCCAGCTGTTCGCGCATGCCTCTGTTTCCTCTCCCAGATGCTCGCCGGCATGGCCGCAGCCGGCGTAATCCAAGCCATCATCCCCGGCCCTCTCAACGTCTCCACAACCCTCGGTGCAGGCGTCTCAGCCGCCCGCGGTGTCTTCCTCGAAATGTTCCTCACCTCCCTCCTCGTCTTCACAATCTTCATGCTCGCAGCCGAGAAGCACAAGGCCACCTATCTGGCACCAATCGGCATCGGTCTAGCCCTCTTCGTAGCAGAAATGGTCGGTGTCTTCTTCACCGGCGGCAGCCTGAATCCAGCGAGGAGTTTCGGGCCGTGCGTAGTTACACACAACTTCCCTGGCTACCATTACATCTACTGGTTCGGACCGCTCATGGGCACTCTGCTCGCCTTCGGCATGTACCGCATCGTCAAGCTAGTCGAGTACCAGACTGTCAACCCAGGCCAAGACTTTGACGACCACGAGGCTGCGCTCTTCAAGCCGCCCGAGGACCCGGAAACGGCGTCTCAAGTCGAGCGTCCCAATGTCGCTGCACATGCCATGGCAGACGCCATGCAAATGGTCAGCAGAACAAACTCTGCTGGTTTGAGCGAAAGCCAATCGACGCAGAACTTTAGCGGCATAGATGGGAGGCTGGATAGCAGAGGGGATTCTGAAAAGGAAAAATCTGTGAGCTCGAGGAGGTCGCCGCGGCAGGAGCAGGAGTTGTTGGAGCGGACGGGTCATGCTCCTGCTGCGAATGGTGAAGATCACGACTGTTAAAACATATCTGATTTCATCACATTGATGGCTTCATTGTCCGTCTCAAAAATGGTAATTTGTCTTTGTTTTATGTAGCGTTCATAGCGGGTGCTGGCAATAGGACAAATAGGGGCGTCTTTCTTCTTCCTCTTTTTCCTCTTCTTCACGTTGCGCATAAGCATAATCTCATTTCCCCACCTTGCATGATGCCGCGCCGTGCTTCGCCTAATATGGCCTCGGTTTTGTATACGAGGAACCATGCTAGGCAGTGAGCGATTAGGACTGCGAAGATAAAGATGCAGATCAAGACTGCGAAGAAGGCGACGCATATCCACATAGCTGACACGACGCTTGGTTTTCTCTTGCTCTTCTTCTTCTTCGCGGACGCCGATTCCGCAGCGTCGACGGATGCACCATCTTTCGTCGCCGGTGCGGGTGGAGGCGTAGATGTAAGTCGAGGCATATCTTCACGATGCGATTCAAGTAGCCCGTCGTGTGGCTCATGGTCGTACGGATACTCGCCCTCGTCATCAGCAGGAAACAACCTTCTCGCAACACCCTTGGCCTCCATATCCCTCCCCGTCTTCTTCAGCGGCACAGGCGAGCCCACAAACCATTTATTCCCTCTCGTCTGTCTCTCCTCCATTCCCTTCTCCCCCCTCCCTTCCCTGCGCCTTCCAAACAGCGGATCCCAAGGCTTCCTCGCATCCGCTCTCCCCTTGCCTTTCTCTTTCTCTTCCGTCTTGCCCTTGTTCAGGTCCCCTGCTTTCAATAATCCCGTCGTTGCAGTCGGGTAGGGCGGCTGTC